AGTAGACAAAACACCTTCAGACTTCTTTTTTTTTTTTTTAAGTCATTAGAATTGTACAATTTGGAGTTAAAAGAAATGGAAAGAGATTAGCTTGGGTCAGTTCATCCTTGACCTCCAGACACTTGATACCTAGCTGGAAACTTGACCAGTCCCCCAAACAGGCTGACCTTTTCAACACTCACATACATGTACACACTATGAAAGCTTCCAAAATTATGAAAATAATGCATGTGCCTTCAGAGGAGGTTTTAAGAATGATGCAATGAAGATTCAAGGCCTTAGCAAAAATTTTGAGAGATTCATACAAAGCACTCACCTCACCCACTTATCCCCCCACGCCAACACACACCTTTTTAAGTAGGTGACAAATGTTGGCTGATGAGTTAGGCTTTGAGAAAAGCAAAGACTTCCCCAAAGTTTCTTTGTTCCTAAGCCAGTCTGGGCATGTTGTCTTTTACATTCCATAACTCAGCTTCTATCATGTGTCCTAAACTGTGCTAGGCTTTAGAGAGTGACAGTTGGAAACACAACTAGTCCCCGCAGATTTTATTTCAGATGTTCTAGTCCCTTCTTATCCCTGGGGGATAAGTCATATCCCCCAGGGAAAAGGGTAACCTCAAAATAAGGAAGCATCAGTCAACCTGAAAACCCCTGTCAGGCCTCTGTATGTAAGCAAAGGCTTCTGAGGATTACAGGCAGGGAGCAATCTTGTTCCAAACCTGAGTCTTAGCACACCTGCATGATACAATTACTGCTAAGTTAAGCTGACAAATGGCATCTCCAATGGATGTCCTTCTTCCTCCAGAAGTGTGTTTTGACTCTGTTGATGTTTTTTTGTGAATTAGAATGGTTCAGAAAGAATAACATCAGAAGAAAGATGGATATCAAGACATTCTTATGGCTCTTTCTGTCTGTCATTGGTCAAAGTGAGATGAGATGTGGGTTTAAAGCCTTGTCCCATGTAAACTCCTCATTCTGGCTGATCTAAGTACAGAGATGATGCTTACATTGAGACAGTGAGAAAAGGTCATGTCTCTTTTTTCCCCTGGGGTGGACAGAAAAGAAGAGTAGCAGTGATGACCACCCTTAGACTTTGTCCATCTCCTTGGTATCTGCTGCTCAGACAGTCTGTGCACCCCTGATCACCCAGCAATCAAGTTCAGGCAAGCAAATTGTGAAGGATCTTTGAAGACTAAAGAGAAACATTTAAGTTCCAAAGCATTTGTTTTAAAATGTGTTGTTTTATCACAATACCATGTGCCAGTCTTACTGCCTGACTACAGCTTCCTTGCCTAGAAAGTTGAGAAGCACTTCTGAGCTGAATCTGGGTTCCAGGATAAGAATAACATGGTCAAACACCAGGGTATGGGTGCAGGTAGAAGTAATGAAGGAACAGCTTGTGTGGGACTTTTTTCTCTTTTAACTGTTCTGTTTCTCATTTTACCCATTCACTGAAAACACTCTTGCATTCATCTGCATTATCACCCTTCAAAGACGTGATATTATCCCTATTTTTCAGAAGAGAATGCTGTTTACTTTGGTGCATTATTTCCAGATTTGGAAGTCCACAAAAGTTTTGAGACATAGCCCCTGTGTGATCAAGATTATTCAAAGGTCAAACTTAATAGCAACAGATGCTCTAAAGGAAAAATTAAGTAAAAGGAGGTGATGTTTTAAGGTGGCTCTAGACCTTGCTATAATCAGAAGGTTGCCAAGAGTCTGCACTCTCGAGTGAGATGGAGGGGTGAAAGATTAGAAAGGTACAGCAGCAACTCAACAGGCACTTACTGTAAGCATTACCATGTGGAATTAAAATCCTCAAACATTCTCTAATTCTGTAGAAGGAAATCAAAGAGTTTGCTGCAATGCATCCTCTTAGAACTGGTCTGTAGCTAAGGATCCCCAAGAGCCTAGGAATGTCTCAGCCAAGGGGAATGGTCTAAAATCCCCTGTAAAGTGATATCATGCCAACTCAGTAAGGTTGCTATGTTCTTGCAGATTTAAAGGTGTTACAAAACTGCATGAATGACTACTTCCCTGCTTCAGAACTGCGGCTTTTTATACCCAAGCAAAGAGAAAGTGGGGTTTCCGTCACAAGCTGTGCCACCAGGTAAGAGCTTCAGAGAACCTTGGGTCCCTGCATTTTCCTGACAATGAGTAAGCAGTAAAAATTTGAGTTAAGCCATAATATGTTCCTTATCATCTCCTCACCAAAATGAATCATCTCCACTTTCCCCATATCATTAAGCTAAGGAACTATACCTCTCTTCCCACCATTGCTCAAATCCCCCCTATCCATAACAACCGAAAGTTGTATACCCTATTTTCTTTTGGATTACCTTTAATGCACTCTGAAATGTAGGTCAGAGGCAAATTTCAGCTATTCCCCAACTGACTTTTGTATTATTTATCCAATAAGTTGATGAGATTGCCTTAGTTTTTGCATCTGAAAAATATGGCCAATGAATCCATCCTTCTGTGATTTCTGTTAACCAGAGAGTAGGGTAGGAGATGGAGGGGGATGTACTTAGCTGATTTAAAATAGAAAGTCAATCCAAAAAGTCTATCATTGAAAACCTTACTTATTTTTTTTTATATTTGTTACGTGACTTGATTTTTTTCCTTTCATTTTTTAAAATTCAGATTAATATGAAGGTAGAAATGTTTAGGTTACATTGTTTACATTTCTAAGGTGAAGTTCAACCTGTAATTGAGCATTCCCCCAGGGGAGGTGCCAAACACCCTCACATTGTGCGCCTTAGCTGAGATCCTGCCAATCTCTGCCCTCCCTCTTCCCCTCTTCCCTCCCTCTCCTCTATCTTCCCTTTCACTATACTATACTTGTGTTTTTCTTTCTGTGTGGGCATGTAGTTGTTAATATATTAGATTCATATTAGTATTGAGTACATTGGATACTTTTTTTTTTTCCCATTATTGAGATACCTTACTGAGAAGAATGTGTTTCAACTCCATCCAGGTAAACAGAAAAGATGTAAACGTTAGTGACAATAACTCTGTAATATAATGGCAACATTTTAGTTTAGTAAATGTAGTATGCCAGGAAAATCTTTAATGATTGAGAATTGTAATTGTCTAAGGGTAAATATATTGCCAATGGAACATAATGTCATGGGCACTTTGTGAATTTTTTATAATGATTACATGAGATGGGGTGTTTAAAGCACTTTGCTGGTACAGTCATTAAGGAACATAGTTTGGAGGTTCCCCAAAAATTAAAAACAGAACTACTACATGGTCTAGCAATGCCACTTCTGGGTATTTATCCAGAGGAAATGAAATTAGTATCTCAAACATACTTCTCCACTCCTGTGTTTATTGTGGCTTTATTCACAATAGCCAAGATATGGAAACAATATAGCATCTGTCAAAAGATGAACAGATAGAGAAAATGTGACACACAGATGTATACACACACAATGGAGTATTATTCACTCTTGAAAAGAAGGAAACCCTGCCATTTGCAATAACATGGATGAACCAGAAAGACATCACACTAAGTGAAGTAAGCCTAAGACAGAAGGACCAGTACCTCTGGGTCTTGGTTCTACGTGGACTCTACAATGGTCAAGCTCATAGAAACACAGAATAGGGTGGTGATTGGCAGAGATTAGGTAGTGGAGAAAATGGGGAGTTGTTGGTGAGAGGCATAAATAACAAAGCACTTTACTTGACTCTTGGTTGCTAGTTAGTACTCAGAAAATATTTATTATTGTAATTATCAATTCTTTTATCCAAGAAGGTGTATGAAATTGTGCTGAACATGAGATAAATACAGAATCTTCCAAAGACATGTATTTTGAAGTAAATTTCTTGCTTAAACTTGTTTTTAACAAACTTTACCTCTTTCTTTTAATGCACAGAGAAACATGCTTTATGCTTAACTGAGAATTCTGGATTGTGGGTCTAGTTAGAGGAGATTTTACCGTAACTTCTCGACAGATGGGACAAGTGTTAGATGTCTGAGCCACCAAATATGTTACTACCTCATGTGTGCACTTTCTAAGAGAAATATAAAAGTCTTGGGATTTAATGTTTCTGCCCTTCCTGGCCTTTCATTCCAGGATTTTATAAAACTAGAGGAGATAACCTGAGTGGAAGGACTACTCACTAGTTGAAGGAAAGATGGTTTGGAATTTCAGAGATTGAAATTTCACCTCACTATTTTTAATAACAAAAGAGCTATAGAGTAGCATTGGGGTTTGCCGATGTCTTTCTTTGAAAATGGTTGGTATTCAGGTATTCCTCAAGTACCCTCTATTCGCTAAGTTGACATTGTGCTGGATACTTTTATAAACATAGAAATTATGCATCAACTCCCAAGTAATCTAGTTGGATAAACAAGAAGAATTCATATAAAATAATTCAGAGGCCAAAGAAGTAATACATCCTAATATTCATTCAGTTGGATGACTACAGTTGGAATGATATATTGTATATTTCAAAATAGCTATAAGAGAAGATTTGAAATGCTCTCAACATAAAGAAAGGATAAATGTTGGTTAGAAGTGATGGATATTCTAAATACCCTGACTTGATCCTTACACATTTTATACATGTATCAAAATATCACATGCTCCCATATATATATGCACAAATATTATGTATCCACAAAAGATATGAGGAAGGGAAATTCATTTTCTCCTCTGGAACTACAGGGGAGTGAAGTTGGAAAATTTACACAATGAAAATCTTATAAAGTAAAAAAAAAAAAAACAAAAAACCCTCAAATTCAATCAATCAAACAATGAGAGGCCAAATAAAGCAATACTTTTTCAAGTATCATGGATGGTTGTGGTAGAAAGTCACAGGAAGAAGAGGTCAGTGAGGGCCGGGTAGATTGTTCTGGAAAGCTTTTTGTGGGAGGTGGCAATTGGCAAGTGGGAGTCAGTGGGAATCTCAGGTCCTGTGAACAGTGTAATGTGGACAAGGCCTGGGGGAAATGAGGCACCTTGCGAGCAGCCGCTAGCCAGCCTCAGGAGAGGTGAGAAGGCTTGGTGGCGTGTCAGGAGGAATCACATCTCAAATTTCCCGAGTACACATTCTTGGCTTTGGGTATTGCCTATGTGTATGCATGTGTGTGTGTGTGTGTGTACACATTGTTTATGTTAATGCAAAGTTGTTACAAAAACATAATTCAAATTTGAAAATTGTTTTGAGGAAAAGAAGACAACATATGTGATAGCACATAAAGTACTCCAATCCTGTGTGTGCTTTCATTTTTTCTTTCTCGTGTCTTCTTATGATGAGAGAGGGCTGGCAAGCAATGGATAATCAAAAGCCACAGAAAATTACCACGTGTAATTCTAGCCATTCAGTTTCACTGGCTTTTCCATTATTCTTTAGCCCAGCTGAACAAACAAAGTGATTTAACTTATTGATATTTTTCCTATTGGCTGAACTCCCCCACTGTATATGTTAAACAAAAAAATGGTTTAAAGCAGGCATTCAAAAAGTAGAATTGAACCAGATAGCCTGGTCTTTCTTTCTGTGAACCTGTTCCATCAGTCCTATGTCTAGTGTGTGTGTGGGGGGGGGGGGGGGGTCCCTGAATTTGTTTTTGTTCCAGAGACAGCCAGAGATAGGGATAGCAACCCACCGAGATCGCTGGATGCTAATTCACTTGCACTTACTTGAAAAGTGGGGTATATTCACATGAATTATAAAGCTTAAATAAACTAATCAGGGCCAAACTGCTGAATATCTTAGGTGGTGCTGTACACTTTGGTTGATAAATGCTATTTGAGGGTAAATTTCTGTGATATTTCATCAATGGAGTTGATTAGCTCAGTTCATCAAAATATAGTCTTAATGAGTAAATGACAGATCTGGCTTCCACTTAGTATTAAAGAATAGGGTTTTGTTTGTTTGTTTGTCTTATGTTAGTTTTACGGGACAAAGATGGCTTCAGCTAGCAAAGTGGCAAACATGTCCTCCATGACACTAAATGAGTGATAAAATAGACGGGATGGCTTAATGGAGACTAGTAGGCACTACTGTACAAAATGTAATATGTGGTATGTGCTATTTGTGATTTATTTTTGATGCAATAACAGTATGGTATTCACATACCAAAAGCAGCATAATATTATTTATAGCTTTGCTGACAATGATTTTGATGCTTTTAAAGATGTAGTCTTCAAGCCACTGGTGGGTTTTCTGGTAAATTCAGAAACTACTGCCTTCTATTCTTAGTACTTAGAGCACTACAGACAGCCCTAACTTGGACAGAAGTTATGGTCCATATTTTATTGTATCCCTGTGTCTTTTCTTTATCATAGAATAAGCAATGTTGGAAATAGCAGTTGGTCTGTCAGACTAGCACACAAAAGAGTGTGTAAAAATGGGAGTTAAATATGTATTTGTTGGATAAATGAGCAGCTCTATTCACTTGAGTTCTGTGTTCTTAAATCAAGGGCTCATGTGATACAAAACAGAGAAGTTAAGTCTTTCCTCTTTTTTTTCAGGGAGATAAAGCTAGATCTATACAATATTTTCTGTCAGATGACAATCATGCTCCACTCCGGAAGCCTTTTTTGTCCTCACCTTCAGTTTCTTTATTGTCTCCACTTCACTTTGGGTGAGCTCAGGAGAACGCTGTCCATTTTACTTGTTCCACAGTTATTTTCTCTTCTCTGCTTCTTCTCTATCAAAACTCACTTCTTCAGTAAAACTGTTGTAATTATATATTATAAAGAACAGACTTAGATGCATATATTCACATTATGTTGTGACTGACCAATAACACCATAACCACATTATGGTTAAATCATTTCTAAATGGTTTAAATCATTAAATTATAACCACATCATGATTAAAATCATTTCTAAATCATTCAGTCCTTTAGAAAGAAGGTGTTGGCTGGGCTCAGTGGCTCACACCTGAAATCCTAGCACTCTAGAAGGCTGAAGAGGGAGGATCCCTAAGCAAGAGCGAGACCTCATTTCTACTAAAAATAGAGAAAAGTTGGCTAGGTGTTGTGGGTGCTTGTAGTCCTAGTACTCAGAAGGTGGAGGCAGGAAGATCACTTGAGCCCAGGAGGCTGAGGTTGCTGTGAGTTAGGCTGACATCAGGGCACTCCAGCCTGGGAAACAGGATGAAAATACATAAGTGAAAAAAATAAAAATTAAAAAAGGTGTTTATTGACTCAAGCAGATATTGAAACTTATGTAGTTTTTGAGATAAGGAGAGGCAGAAATTTCCAAGCAGTGTGTAATAGACCTGGGTTAGGAGAGTAAACCATGTTTAGTAGAAAGTTTTGTCTGTCAGTGTATCAGCACGTCCCTGTAAGTCCTCCCTTTGTGTCTGCTTAAAGCAGCTGTTATAGACTATGTTGAAATCTCACTGCTTTCCCATGTTACTGCCCATCTTTCATGTCTTACTAATACCTGGGAATAAGATCATAGTCATAATATCAACCTTATTTTCATACTCTCTCTGTTCTTCTTGAGATACTGGACATGATAAGCGTTACTTTTTCTTTCTTTTCCAACATCCTACAAGACTCAGTTCTTTATTATTTTTATTTTTATTTTATTTCATATTAATGTGAGGGTACACATGATTAGTGATTAAGTTACATTGTTTGTGTTTCTTAGGTAAAGGTCAAGTTGTACTTGAGCCCTTCACCCAGGACATCTGCCATATACCCTTACATGGTGCACCTTAGATGACAGCCTGCCAATCACCCGCCATCCTGCCCTTCCTCCTTTCCCTCCTTCCTGCCCTCCTCCATTTGAATTCAGTTGTGTTTCTCTCTCTTGTGGGCATAGAGTTATTTCTCTATCAGCTTCATATTAGTATTGAGTACACTGGATACTTGCTTTTCCATTCTTCTGATACTTTGCTAAGAAGAACGTGTTTCAACTTCATCCAGGTTAATACTAAAATGGGGACAGAGGAGGTCAGACTCCTGCTCTTTGCTAATGATATGATCTTCTACTTTAAAAACCCCAGAGACTCAACCACAAGGCTTCTAGAAGTGATCAAGAAATACAGTAAAGTCTTGGGATACAAAATCAATGTCCAAAAATCAGTGGCCTTCACATATGCTATTACCAGCCTTAGTTCTTTAAAGGCCAAGTGGTCCACAAATACCACCCAGCAACAGTAGTGCTCATCTCAGATGTCAGCCCCAGATCACAGTGCTCTTACATCTTTAGGCGTCAGTTTCTTCATCTATAAAATGTAGAAAATATTAGAACTTAAATAATGGAAATGTTGTGAGGTTTGAATGAGAGAAGATAGATTAAGTTCTTACATGGTGCCTAATACATAGTAAAAATATAGCAAGTGAAAAACACTTCATGTTGTTATTGTCATTGTATTTTCATCTCCCTCTGCCATCATCTCCTTGGCTCTTAGATTTCCATGTTTCCATGTTTCTGCAACTAGTTTCTTTCCCATGTGTGGGTAGGGGCACACACAGAGTTCAAGTCCTCCCAAGATTTCATCTATTATCTGCTACCACAGTCCCCAGACCATCAGTCCATGGAGCACATCAACAGGGTTTTCAGTGAAGATCTGTAAGGTCACTTTGCCACACCCAAGTCTGCCTATAGCTTCAGGATGCTCTTTCCCACAGCAATTCCATCTTCTCCCTTGGCTATTTTCTGGTGCCATCTAGTACCACTGATGCCGTGGCAGTCTTTAGTTTCTGAAAATGTTGGTTCATCTAGAGGACTGCCAGGGTAGCCTCACCAGGCCAAAAACATGCTAGTAAATAGTGCCTTAGCCATAGGACATGTGGAAACTGAGAAAGGTTGTCTCTATTCTAGCACACCCATTCCCAGCCCTATGTGATTTATGACTAGGCATGATTCTCAAAACATCTGTCCCTATGACCTGTCACTTTAATGACCCCTCTGCCATGCACACAATTTATTGAATTCTGTATCCAAGATGATCCAGGCAAGAGAATCACTGTCTTTTGGCCTTGTCTCCTCTTAGCACTAACATTTAGTTTAATTTTTTTTGATGTTTATTACTTTTATAGGATGAAAATTGCCTAGCAAATTGGCAAACTTATGTCTTCTATAACATTAGTGACTTATAAGATAGACTGGATGACTTAATAGAGACTAGTAGGCATTATTGGACAAAAATATAATGTCCTACTGAGGCCAGTTCCAGAAGAGTCCATTGGGGGCAGAAGATCAGATGCAAATCACAATACATGGCTCTTCTACTTCCTTGTCATGTTTGAACTTTCTATAGAATCTGACCAGTAACTGAGCAGTTACTTTTTTCCTTTTGTTTTAATATTAAGGTTTTAAAATTATTTTCTTTATGGAATGTGCCCCATAATTTTTAAGTCAAAAGCATTCTTTGATTCTCTCATTCATATACACACATGAGTATCCTTTATTGTAGGATTTCAAATCATGTTCTAGAAGTCCATATTTGCTTAATATTCCAAAGCCAGCATTTCCTCCTCCAGAATCACCTTTCTCCAAGAGTCCAAATAGCAATTAAGTTATCAGTCCTATTTTTTTTTTAACCTGAGATTTCAGAACCTCTAAGAAAGATACTTTCCTCATTTTAATTAGTGGTATAATTTGAGTCCACTGAAAACACAAGCAGGGAGCATGTGTCTGCTATGAAGTTTTGAAGTTTAATAAATATCTTTATCAAATCTCCATACCAAGATAAAAGAAAAGAGTAAAAAAATGTGTAGCCATATGTAATTATAGGAGTAGGGTAGGGCAGGAATAAAAATAAATACAAACGTACACACACATACAGAAATGGTATTTTTAATCACAATGAGCCTGAGTTCTAAAGGCAGATAAAAGAGTTAGGGTGGCAAGGAAAATAAGAACAAAACTTTGGAAAGAATGAGTAGGTATTTTCCTTAATACCCTCTAAATATTTTTTGTTTCTATTTTATATCTATAGGCACAAGTCCCATTTCTGAGAAGCAATGTAGCATAACCCTAGCAAAGTACCATGTATATAATAGTAATTCATGAAGTATGTATTTAGTAAATTGATTCTTCATATTAACAAAGTACATTTTATTATTATTGCTTAAAAATAGCAGTCAAAATAGCTTTCAGCTTCATAAAAAGCATCAGATCGATACCAATAGTTCTGTACAGAATGCAACATGGCTCTTCCATTGTGATTGTCTCCTCATCCTGTCTAGCTTGACGGACTGTAATAAAGGAGGGGCAAAGACATTTTTTAAACATGTCTGTGAATCTGTGGACGTTAAAACTCATGAAGTCAAATTCTTCAAGGAGTTGCAAGTATGGAAATTTCCACTGATGTGACTGGGTGGTAAGATGTGAAAGCAGTCTTCATAACATAAAAGTACAGTGGGATGACTGATTATGTATTAAGTATACACACTTATTTGCATTAAGCAATTAGTATTTGCATGTTATTATTATTCATCTCATCTATAATCTGCCTAAATTGCATGGATAAGACCTTAGCTATTTAGAGTCATGTATAAAAGACCAATTCACTATGACAAGGTGACGTCACTGTCTAGTCACTGTTGGGGCAGCTTAGTCACTGTTTCTAAGAAAACGCTAGTCAAAATCTAGGAAAATGACTTGTATAGCTTGTAAGGAAACAAAAGCGAAGTAGGCAAATTTCACAGTGTTTTCATTCAGTATTCTTTGCTCTCTGAGTGACACCTCACTACCATCTTTTTTGGGGGCTCACAGTGCTCAGATACTGACTATCCCCATCAAAATCTGTTATCTGAATTCTCATTTACAAAAGCAGAAGTATGAAATATAACCCTTTCTTCATGAAGTAATTCTTTCTTCATGAGTCAAGGCTTCAGCTAAGGAGGAAAGTCCTAAGTGAGGGAATTTTAGCCATCAACCTTAAGGGGAAGGGATGATTTTAGGTGACATCATATAAGGGCCTCTGTGTACATCTAAAATGATACCGCCAAGCCCATTGTATGCTAAGACATGTTAGTTTTTAGATTTAAAATAGAGTAATCAAGGAGAAGTCCATATATCCCCATCTATGGCTTTGGATGATCCAGAAGTGGATTGTCGAAGGTCAGATCTCAGCTCTCTGATTTCCATGTTGTGTGAACATGAAGAAGTCATTCACTATCCTATGGTTCAGATCCTTCATCTATTAAATAAATAGTACCAATCTCATAGAACCAATGAGATTTAGTATGAATAAGGCTTTTATAGCAATTCTTAGCATAGAGTAAGCATTGAATAAATGTTGGCAACTATCACAACACAGAAGAGGAAATTGTTCAACAAAATAACTGAACTCGAGTTCTACAGTCACCTCATCAAAGCAACTTCCCGCTGAAATTGGATTAACATTTTGCCTTTGTGCTAGCACTGATAGTATGAGTAGAAAAGATAGAAGACTTAGAGGTGTCACTTCAAGTTAAATCTGGAGGTTGGCAAAGGTGCAGGAACGCTCACCTTTAGTAATGAGAGACATAAACATTCTTCCGTTTTTCTCATGAGACAATGCAGCCTTGGCCTGCTGGAAATGATCTCTTTTTCTTAGTCCTTTCTCTGAGAAGGTGACACTATGGAATCCCAAGCCTGTTAGAGCCATGCTTGGCTCCAAAGGACCGTGCTGGCTTTGGTGGTGAAAACTAAGGAAGGAGGGGACAGGACCATAATTACCCTCTCTTACCTTGGCACCAAATATAGAGACTGTTTACCAAACAGTTATATTATTGCCCTTAGTGCAATTATTTATAACATTTTTTATGAACTTAGCAAAAACAAGTGAGTTTGGGATCTGTAACAGTCTTCAAATAATTAGGAAAATCTTTCCTGCCAAGAGAGGGTTAAGAAAAATTGTCTTTAACCAACCCTCTCCTCTCACTTCCCTTTGTCCTCTTGTTCCCTGGGCCACAGCTGGTCAATGACTGCAAACACAAGGCAGGCAAAACTTCAGGGTTACTCAGAAGCTTCACAACTTAGCAGCTGCCTTCAGCACATGCGCAACTGTCAGGACAATGAAATATTGTTCATTGCTTCTACCCCACAACCAATTAGGTCAGCTGTAAATATTGGAATTGCTTGGTAAACATGCTGGAAGATTGTGCTGACTTGTTAATATAAGTGAAAATGTAATTAGATTTATAACACTTTTTTTCCAAGCCATAATTTACAACAACAACAACAGGAGGAAAAAAATTCTCTTGCAACCTGCTGAAATATCATTATTAAAATGCACATGAAAAGTCAATTATGCCAGAGGGAGGTATTTAAGAGAAGTGAGTTTCCATACCCTGGGATTACACCATGGGGATTACATATTTCTTATTTATTTTTTTCCCAAGATCTTTGCTGCTGCCAAATGAAAAGGAACAGATATTTTACTTATTTCACTCTGAAATATTGCTGCAGATAATGCTAAGAAGTAAACTAAATAACCTGGCTCCCTGGAAACCTACTCTGTTCTCCTCAAAGCCTTAGGAAAAGCTGAGTAGGCACCATTCTTTTTTATTTATAAGCCCGTCTCTCATTAAGCAAAAGACATATTCCTTAAAACATGTGGAAATCAGATCTGTTTTGTAAATGCTATTCTGTCTCACACTGTAAATGAGCATATTATTATATGGGATTCTGTAAGGGCAGTCCTTATGTAAAGAAAAGAAATAACCCCTCATTTTCATTTTAAGATTTGAAGTTTTCTCTCCTCCCAGGAGCACAGTGGGAGCACAACTCTACTCTCAGACAAAGATGGCACAGAGTGACAGGATATTTATGTGTGTTAGCAGCCCAGGTCCCACCATGATCCCTCCCTGGGCACGAGATCTTGGTGGCTGCATTCCCTGGGCTGGGCTGGGCTGGGCTTCATCCCATGCAAGGGCCTCTGGGTGTTGGACAAGGCTCTACCCTTCTTTCAAGGTTGAGGCTCTAATCCTGGTTTCAATCTTAACCATTGATTCAGATTGCTGCTCCCTGCTTTCTGGTTTCCTCGTAATGAATGTGGGTATTATCATATCTCATCTGCATTTAAGATGCCAATGGGAAAATGCTAGCTTAAAAAAAAATCATAAAGCAACTTATTTAGTGGGAGAGAAGCTGCCATTTTCTGTTTCAAACTTCTCCTAAAGTGTTCAGTTTAAGTAATGGAAACACATATTTTTAAGAACTGATAGTGCATATATTACAGATGAATTACTCTTTAGGGGAAGAGTTTGGTGTTGCCACATAAGAGTCAATCCACAAGATAAATCATATATTTGTGTGTGTATCTACACACACATGCATAATTTACCAGGTGCATTTGGCAATGCACATGTACATTACAGATACACGTCAACACAGAAAGATACAGAAGAGCCCAAAATGGGGAATGGCAAAGTTTCCAGACTTTGATTCAAAGTAGCATCTTAATCCAGTGTCCTTGTAATTGAAAACAATGCCAATGGTCTTTCCACATAAAAATGTCCAGTTTTTATTTATTTATTGAATGGAATCATTTATATTTGTATTTTTTTTTTATTTAGTACAAGTAAAGAGCACATGAACGTTTCTAGTTCATGAAATGAT